ACCCTCTTCTTCAGCACCTGCACCACAGACCTTACTTTAGGGCCCTGCGCCTCTAAACAACGCAAGCCTTGAGTTAGGGAACCACTTCACGACACTGCCTTTGTTCAACCCACTTTGCTTACTTACCTAGGCCTGCCTTGTGCAACAGACGCTCTAAGCTCCAGTCTTGTGTAACTTAAACCTCTACCCTTACTTTAGGGTTAGAGTTGGGGTTGGAGTTAGTGTCCGCTGTAGGGCTACCAGCCGCTTCAGTTTCACCTTCCTTCAGTCAACAAAGCTCTCTAAACAAAGCAGCACTTGTTCAAAAACAACGCCTGTTCAAAAAGCCCGTCTTTGTTCAAAAACACTGCTCTTGTAAAAAACACAACACTTGTTGTAAACACCGCTCTCCTTCACGAGGCAGCGCCAGTTCAGCAGACCATATTCGTTCGGGAGGCGGCATTGGTTCAGAAGACGGCATTGGTTCGGAAGACCACACTCGTTTGAGAGACCGCATTGGTTCAGAGGACCGCATTGGTCAACAACACCACACTCGTTCGGGAGACCACGCTGGTAGGAAGCTCGCCCTTCTTCAACGGCCAAAGCTTGTGCAAACAATCCACCGCCTGTAACACAGCCACTCTTGCCCGAGAAAACACCACATATTCGCAAAACAGCGCTCCTGTAAAACACACTCCTTGCATAACATAACCACGCTTATGTAAGAGAACAACACTTGTTCAAAAAGGTCTTTGTATAAAAGGCAAAGCTCGCTTGAATAACCACTCGGCTTTCACAAGCAACACTTATCCAAAGCACAAGAGACAAGCCTTGTGTAGAAAACAAGCCTGCTGTAAAAAGCAGCACTCATCTAAGGGAAAGGGCATATACACAAGAGAGAGCTTCTAACACTTCCAACATATACAAGCAACATATATCAAGGGAGTGTATCAAGGCAGTGCATTACATGTAATGCATCAAAGCGATAAACAATGGCGGTGCATCAAAGCAATGAACAACAACAGTGCATCAAAGAGATAAATAAAAGCGGTGCATTAAAACAATAGGAAAAAATAATATATTGAAGAGGTAGGAAGAAAATCCTGCGGAAAAATCATGGAAAAAGTCATAAGAAAAGCCATAAGAAAAGTCGCGGAAAAAGGTTATAAGAAAAAGCAGTGGGAAAAGGTGAAAAAAAAACAAGCCTCCAAAACCCCGGGCGCACCCGGGCGCCGGCCTTCTTATACCCATCTGACCCCTGCTTGCCTTACCCCATTTAACCCCAACTGCCAGTGCCGGGTAGGCTACCTCCACATCCTGTCTCCGCCCCCTCATTCATAGCACCGATTTCCCAAAAGAAAAAAAAAAGACTAACCCTAGACCCTATATTTATATTGGCTTGGCAAGTTACTTACATCAAGCGTATTTGGCATGTAATAATAAAGAAAACTAAGAGGAGAATTTTATCTGGCTTGTAGCAGGTTAGAAAATTTGCCTTTTCCTTTGTTAATGTCCTGCTTTTGCTATTACGGTACGCGGTAAAACCTAACTTTCGGGTGGAATAACAATGAATTATTATGAAAGAAATTTGAAATTACAATGATCTTTTATAATAAGTTCAGGGAACAATAACATCTAATTCGAGCCGCAAAGAATCAATCATCTTGAATGCGTTGTAGAATCCATAGACATCTGTACCCGCTAGCTTACTAGCCCATTTTTCATTAGTTTTGTTGTTACAGTATTCGCTATAAGCATCCTGTCACGACCCAACGCATGAATTGGTACGTACCACGGATTAGGTACGGACCGAACGACCAATCAACGAAAAGTCGACAACGACTCCGCGTCGGCTTTATAGATAGTCGACACAGGCCGACCGTCGACCTCAGTCGACTTTCACGAAGCGACTTACTATATAAGTCAAACGAACACACACTCATTAGATAGCTTAGATAGTCAGTCGTTAACACATCAATAGTACCAGATACGAGTTACATCTTATCTACCAACTACGTGACTACGCAACGTGCTCAATAACTGGATATCCTATCCCATCTGCCAACATAGACACACGCATCTATCCCTTGGGAATCTCCCCCTACCCTATAAACGATAACCTAGGATCTAGGGACCGGATCGTCACACATCCAATAAAGTCTTCTGAGCTGCGTAGCCGTTTCTCGGGTTAATTGCAAGCGCAGCTGAACGAATGGCATCTGCATTTATCGGATTAGTAGCACTCGGCGGGCTTCCACCAAGCGAGAAAGCTTCACGGCAATTTGCTTCGAGATCGAGAACATAGCCATGATTATTTTCCACGTCGGTGCCATTTCCAGATCGCGTTAAATGACCACCAACATAATGATCAAATTCATAAGCGAGCGCATATTCGTGAGCTTTGATATATCCAGATATGTCTTCCACTTGACCTAGTAGCGCATATGTGTCACGACCCATCTCTTATGGTCGCACCAACAGGCCTACCGGGTAGGCAGAACCGGATCAACGTAGGACCGACCTACCAATCACGGATGGATCATTAGATCATTTCAATGATCCAATGAGCCAGACACGGATCATCAAAACTATGAGATGATCCACGACGGATCATTAGATTCTACAAGTGATCCAGCCCAGTCAAATCGGATATATAAGTTCACTTCTCTACGCTCATTTAGATAACTTAGATAGCCAGTTGTTAACACAGAATCAAGATTGCAACACGCTCTGCACTGCTTACTATCTGGTGACATTATCATTACTGTTTACATTGCCCGAAGATCTCCTGATCGCTCCGCCAACATAAACCCAGAACTGAACTCTAGGTTTGTCCCTTGGGAAGCCCTCGTATTACTAACTATCTAGTGTACGGTTCGTCACAACAGTATAATAGAATGTTACACTAATAAGCAAAAGGCAAAAAAAAAAAAAAAACCAATAATAAGTATAAATACTTAAGCCTATTAAGCCTAAAATAAAAATACTTTTAATGACTTTAAGGATTACTTTAATATATATATTATTTTTAGTAAATATAATTAAAATCTCTTTATTTTTCAATTTCCTATTCTTTGCTTATTAAAGATCTAGACTGACATACTATACCTTAAGGGAATAGAAATTCATGGAGATTTTAATCTTTACAAAGGCCTTTCTAAGTTTATAGCTAACGGGAATAATAATATAAGTCTACAAAAGGTAGTAAACCAGAGGATATATACCTTTCTATCATTTTGTCTAAACTAAGGTATTATAATAAACATCGGTTCAATTAGGAACAATCTCCTATACATATAAGAGCAACTCTATTCCGCTCTTCAATAGCTTGGCCAGACCTTAACCAACAGTTTTTTACCATAAACACCTGGTACTACTATAAAATCGTGACTACCAACTAGTATATTACTCACTGCTGCCCTGATCCCTTAGTAATATATACTCAACCTCTTTACATTTACTTATCTCTGAGATCCCAATGTCCACCAGTCAGAGACGTTGGGTGAAGGCCTTAAAGGTGTTTATGTCTTCTTTCCACTTCCTTTATCCTAGCTTACATAGTATTAGGTCATAGCTTCCGATAATAAGTGTAACGATCCGTTATACCGTTGAGCCAAACAGGGCAAAAGATTAGGCCAATAATCACTATTGTAAGCAATTATTGTAACGGAACCAGCTGTTTATAAGGGTTTTTCACTATCACAGTGAACCAGATTGTGACAATAAGACTCCAACAACGGATTCTATCCCAGAAATTCGCCAAAGTCTGCCAGATATCACCTATGATTTTGGTGGAAAGTTAGTGATTATTTATTACCTATTTACTCGATACTAAATTATCTTAGGTATATTTGGCTTGAACACGATTGGACTACAGATGTGAATGAGGCTTGTTACCACATTAGTGTGCAAATTACAGAAGGAGCCGAAGATAAAAGAAGCGACCTGGCTCAGGGTGCAGGCGGCCATTATCGGTACCTTAACTACCAATACGATGATGGCATTCCTCTCAAGATCTCAGAGGTAGCTTTATACCGGAAGAGTTACAATGAGGGCCCTTTTGATAATAATCATTTACAATCCATTCAGGGCCGAGGTTATACTGAGAATTCCTCTGACATAAATAAAGGCCGTGGAGTCTGATACGATGCTGGATGGTTACATCCAACGCCATGAAATATAACTCGCGGTCGTTCGAAGTTATGACGGAGCGCTCTACTAGACGCCGCTACCGAGATACATGGAAGAAATTTATAGCATTTCTTATCCGATCACACCACCTGTCAAGAGAGGCAAAGGAAGAAACAGGTGTTCAGATTCCAGATGATATAAGTCAGCTTTTGTTGCAATTAGTCCAACACCCAATATGGGGCATGTTTGATGCCAGAGAAGGTCAATGGCCACCAGTGGAAGATGGCAGGTATGCCAGCACCGACGAAGTATCAGGCATCTGTTTTGATGAAGTCCAAGAGACAGAAGTACGCGATGAGAGTAACAGAAATACTGCACAACACCTGAATAGAACTCTGCATGATAGCAATGCAATGGATCGAGGCTCTTGCTTAGGCGAGAGCTCGGATTCCAGTCATTATGAGTCTGGTTGGGAATCATCTGAGAGCATAATAAGCGATGAAGATTCAGCACCTGAAATTGAGCAGGCATGCACGAACGCGGGTAATTATCAACATGCCGTCAATCAACCCAATGTCAATCATCATCAGGACAAGAGACGTTTAAAAATGGCAAGCATTGACTTTCTTGAGTTATTATTCAAGCTTTCTGTTGCTATATGTAAACAAGAAGTCCGAGGTGGGCAGCCCGGGTCTACAGTGCTACTTTACTTCAGCGGCATTTTCGGATTCTCAAGCGACTGCCAGCAGTTTAAGCTGGCAAGAGACTTCTGCCCATCGCTATCAGGGCTCATATACGTGCAGCGTCTGTTATTTCTCGAGTCTGCATTGCCGCTCTCGACGTATTCAAGTCTCGATATTCCACGGAGACCAGATGACGGGCAGCTTGAAATGATTCAACAATTCTGCAGCAAATTGATTGCCGCTGGATCTGCAAGCTCTCTTGCTGAAATGTTCAGCTTGCGCAGTTTCGGCTACTCGGTCGCCAAAACGGAGGGTCCGTCATTTATACTTCATTGGAGTGACGATGACCAAGTTGTGTCGCTTGGCACGGAGCTGACGATTAGTATGGTGGACCAATTCCGAACATTATCTGGCTACTTCATATCAGAAGCAGAGGCTATGGCTCAGGATCTGCTCTATGGTCTTGATCCAGTCTTGAACATTGCTGAAATCAAGGACAATATGACAAATCGAGAAGTTGGCTATTCGTTCGTGAAGCACGAGGAGAACGGATTCCAAATGGCTACAAGACAACTCCTCGCCCAATTAAGTCAGCCTTACAGACATCAGCCACCGCTTATAGCCCATAAAGGCTGGCAATGGTCAGCTGTGAAGCACTACTTATGTATGGTGACTCGTTTACAAGAGTCGATATTTGGTGGCAAATACACAAGCGGAGGCCAAACGCCGCGGCTGCGCGAGCTACAGTGGCTTCTATGCGAAAACACGGCATGGGCTTCGAGAGGCGTGTATGTGTGGAATGGCTCCGTGGTGTACATCATCAAGCACCATAAAGCAAAGCGGATGACGAACAAGGAGTTTTATGTGGTCCGATTCCTGCCACTACGGCTTGGTCTAGTGGTTATCAAGTACCTCGCATTTATTCATCCTGTAGCAGAGATTTTACGTCGCGAGCTCCACGAACACATGAAAATAAGGGAACTATGGCGGCCCACGCATTTGCTATTCGGAAAGAATGAAAAGCCATGGGCAACGTCGAAATGTACGTCCATTCTGCAAGCAGCAGCACATGGCGTATGGAAACAGAGGATAACTAGTCAAATGTACCGGCAAATTGCTATTGGCATAACAGAAAAGCACGTGCGAGAAGTCTACACCCCTTTTAACCAATATGACGAAAAGAGCCCAGCAGCCGATAAGAACGTCGCATTTGCGATGCAGAGCGGGCATAAGGTTATTCAACGTAACACGACATACGGTCTTGATGGTGCCTCCCGCATCGGTTGCAGCCATCACTGCTTCGTGCTTATGAGTGGGCTTCAACCGAGTGGCATGCATTCATCCACCAGGCAAGTAAGATGAGAAAAGAGCCTGAAGCGGTGGGATCTCCTACGACAACGAGTATAACCAGCACTAGTGTGAAGAAGAAAGCTATCCCAAACGAAGGTAAGAGTTCTCCAGCAGCCACCTGAGAATCTAAACAATACTAAAGTTTAGGCAGAGTTACAAGAAACGACCAAAGACCTCATTACTTTCCGGAGCCCCCACAGGCTCGGCATATGCCTTCTGTGTAAGATTGCGGTCCAAGCCGGTGACGGAGCCGTATTTCATTTTAGGAATCAACATAAGACTAAAGGCCGAGAGCTGTACGCAATCAAGACTCTATGCCAGTTCTGGGACATTCAGAGTCCGGATACTGTCGAGCTGCCTGAAGTAACGTCATGCTTTATTTTCTCCGCTTTAGAGGCGTATTTTCGAGGACGACCAACCTTTTTGTGTTTCTTTGGCATGACTGGCGTTCAGCTACGGAGTACGTAAAGAAAACTACGCAAACTGCAAGCTTACAACCAACGGTTCTCCTTGGATTGAAAGAGCAAGCTCTTAGATAGGTTAGTAGTTTTGACTGCTAATTATATAATACAACAAACCAGGATGGTGGTGTCTGAAAGAGGCTAGCTCTTTGACTGCAAAACCTAAAATGGTAATTTACGCGAACCCGAATGCTTGAAAAGTAAGACATGAGATGCGTAGAATGCATCACTATATACATAAAGTCTCCAGCTTCACCACCGCATTGGTGTGAGCTCGCTCTGCGGCTATGTAGCCTTGGGTATCATCAAGTCTTATCTCCATCATTCCCAAATCTTCGTTTTCTTCGGATCCATCCTAGGAACTTACTGCAAAGGCTTTTCCAAGAAGACCTCGCCCAAGGCCTCTAAAGTCTCCGCCGCTGCACCCAGCCCTGCCAGGATAACGACCATGCCTTCAGAGCCAGCTACATTGCCATCGAGGCATTCTTCAGCTACGCCGCTGCCTCCGACCCTGTCAGATTAACGACCATGCTGGAAGACGCATCAACAACATGTGAGCTGTTAGTCAAGCAAGAGGACTGCCCGCTGCCCCCAGCCCTGCCAGGTTAACGGCTATGTCCTCGAGCTAACTGGCACTTGGCGTTAGAATCTCTTATAAGACCCTACAAAGTACCTTGTTCACCTTGTGTTCCGTGATATCATCACCAGAAAGTGCAGCTAATTTCGCTTTTTACTTGCCACCGCGCAAGTCGTACCATCATCGCCAAGGAACCACAGCTCTTGTGCAGGGTCTCGTCTGGAAGCTCGGCCGGAACGCAGAATTTGTTGGACCGAAGGTGAGGCGTTCTGCTCTTGAAGTTTTCTTTGACGAAGTTGCTTCTTCGGTGTCGGTGACTTTTGTTCTCCACGTGATCGTCTCTTATCAACTCGTTGCCGGCGGGGGGATCGAGGCTTCCCGTTAAATCCTCTTGTGTCTGCTGAGATAGTAGACGTCTTGGCCGCAAGCCCATCTCTATCTCGTTGTGAGGACGCCTGGTTTCTCTGCAAGAGCTCTGTATTTGCATATCCTTTAGGCGCCGGAATTGTCGCTATCGCTTCGGTATCTTCTTTTGGAGACGACTGGGCAGTGGTAAACGATAGATTATCATCAGTAGAAACAGAGCTGTTCGGCTCTAATTTTCTGGGCACCCCTTGGATGCGCTCCTCGTCCGTCATATCTAGATCGTAGCCAGGTAGAACCGCGGTTGAGCAAAGACTGCTTGCCCTGCTCGCCTCAGATGGTGTCATATCTCGCGCGATTTGGTACAGCTCGGCAGCCCGTTCCGGCGGTTGTCGGAAACTTGAGATTGGATCGTTAATTATTCTGGATCGCTTCTTTCTCGTATCGTCTTGGAAATCGTCTATCATTTTGCGTTGCTCAGCTTGCTTCGAGGTCGGCGTAGCTTCTGCAGCCCTCCGTTTGTATTGTCCGGCAGTAGGCTTCTCCGCATCCCTATCTCCAGCACCCTCACTCATCACGCGCCGTTTCTTCCTTTTAGATCCGTTCGTATCCTCATCACTGCTCCTCTTTCTTCTTGTTGAGCCCTCGGTTGTTCGTGCTTCCGCCAACGCCTCGGGCTGGTCCGGGCCGCGTCGTCTGGATGATGATGTGGGTCGTGGCTTGTCGCTAATAGTAGCCGCTGGAGATGTCGGGGTTCTTAGGTTTGACGCATCTCGAGACGACTTCGGTCTGCTGCTCGCTGTCCTGGGAGAACTGTCAGTAGTAAAGTCCGGAGCAGCTACTTTGTTAGCTCGAAAAGCAGCAGCCAAGCGCTCGGCCGCACGCTCCCTCTTGAAACTTTCCAGCCTCTCCTTCCGCCCACGCCTCTTCCCCTCCTGTTTCTTGCGTTCATCTCTAGCAAAGCCATCAAAAAATCTCACCATCGAGTCAAACGACATTGTGCGCGTGAATTGAGTAAAGGCTTGCCATCGCTCTACGGGGCCGTCATTCAAACTGCCCGGTTTCAACTTTACCTCCATATTCTCCTCGTCGTAGCATAGTTGGCAGAACAGGCTTTTAGGGAATGCTGCAAGCCAGGTGCCGATCTCATTCCATGCCTTAGCCATCTCCTCAATCCTTTGAGCCTTCCGCTCCCCTAGTTTAGAGTAGAACTGATCTAGACTTTCGGCCTTGTCGGCACATTCGTAGACATCCCGGTGAAAAGCAACAGGATCCTGTAAAGGAAATTTCTTAGTATTAAAGCGATCGTGTAGCGTGGTGAAGAGCGCTTGAGGATCGAGGCTAAATTTGTCGTTTAACCAATACCATGATGGGTCCATCATCAAGTCAATCTTCGGAAGCTGAGGATCCATTTTAACAAGGACATGAAGACAAAGAAGATTGGATTGTGGAAGATGAGAAACGAGAGAAGAGGCAAGCTAGGCTAGACAGACGTGCTCCAACGGCTTATGTAATGCGGGACTAAATCAGCATCTCGGTTAGCAAGGCATAAAGATTTATTTATTGAGGACCAAAGTCTGGATTTAAATAAAACTAAAGGCGAAAAAAAAATTGGATAGATATCTAATATTTTATGCTGAAGTAAAATAAGATTTACTCTAAGTCTTTGGAGATTGCCTTTTTTTTTAAGAATTTTTTTTTTTAACGATAGGAAGTTTGGTTCTACTTTTACTGACGAACAGGTACATAATAACATCTTATACAAACTAGTCTATATAGCTATTGCTTTTAAAAGGAAGAAATACTTTTATTGTGTATGAGCAAGCCTAAAAGTAAAAGATCTGTCAATACATAGTGCTTGCATTGCCCATTAAATCAGCGTATATCCCACAGGGGTTTCCCCCAAAAATTCTTATTAGTAATATAGGTAACTACCGCATCACATTTTAAAGCTTGGCTGTGAATCTTTGATCCGACTTGCGTCATCTTACTAACAATAATGGAAAATACTATAGTGATTAGTCTATTCCGATTCATAGTTGAAGTTTTGACTGTGATAGCATGTTGGTACTTTTAGTACTCGCTTTGTTCATCGAACGTTTGTTCATTCTATCAGCTTCGTACCGGTTCAGTGAATAACAGCCGACGCGGTAGCCGTATCCCTAACTTAATCATATAGATACGACCTCCAATCATGGCAAAAATAGAAAAGGCCGAGCAGAGGCCTCATGATCTTAAGTTATGACCCACAGCTGGTGGGTTTTCCCGCTACGCCACAGAATTTTGTAATTGCGAGGTCCTTGACTATCTCATTGAAGGTGGTAAGGCAGGTTTTCTATACATTGCTCGTAGTTGACTAATCAACCTAATCAACACGTGGGAAAATTTAGGGTATATCATTCGTCTGCTAAAATTTTCATCAGAGTAAGTATCAGATATCCCCATGCATACAAGCACTTAAGTCCGTTATAAATAAGTTTCTATAAGTACATACATACGGCGCTGCTGACAGAGAAAATACAAAAAACCTGCCTTACCAACCTTTAAAGAGATACGTACAGTATCACATTGAGGCTATTCCTATAATCGGCATCTTTTCCGTTGACCCCATTCGTCTTGATTTTCTCCGCGCATGCTGACACGCGAGTTGTTTGGCCAACTCTGCAGCCAATCACCATTACCGCCAGGAACCAGGGCCTTGACAAGGTGCAGCTTGCGTCCAGGCAGCACCCCATAGATTGCGGAGTAGGTGTTGCTAGTGCAAATAGCCTGATACCGCACCCTAGAGAACATTTGGATTTTTGACTCGTAATCTTTACAGTGACGCGTATTTGTATCTTTATAGCGTCTTTTCGAGCCTCTGGTTTCATGCCCACGACCCTGTTATTCAGCTTTTCCTCTGTTCTCGAGACTGGATACACATGCCATAAATGGAACGCACCACTCAGCAAGCTTCTGACGGTATCAACCCACTCACGGCCAGTGGGATAGAACACAACAAACAAGGTATGTAGGTCAGTTGCACAGGGCCAGTTGTCTAAGTTCTAACAAACCATCTCCTCACCCACTATAGAATGCGACACGAATATTGAAATCCTCCACCAGGCAAATCATCCATCCGAGAACGTGTCTGACGCTACGGATGCCTTCACTTCCAGCGAGTTTGAGGCAATCAAGAACCGCCATAAGGAATGGTGGGGTAGATTGAAGGCGAAGAATACAGGTCCATTATCTGAGGCCACGAATGCCCTTACAACGAGTGAAATTAAACAATCAGATACTCGATCGAAGAAAGAAAATGCAAACGATGGAAGTCATGCTTTGAGCCATGACTTGCTTCAACAAGGAGAAGCCAGCGAACACGGCTCTCCCATAAGCTCGCACGCATCAAACGAAAGCATCGCCACCGACAAGACAAGTAGCAGCACGCAAACCGGACTTCTGGAGCAATGCGGACCGGGCATTAAAAGGGCCACGCTCAGATTGAATACAAAGAGTCTAATAGAAGTCAGCGTGCAAGCTATTGGATTGTCAGTAACGGATGCTCTCTACACTGCCAGGGAAGAACTCGTTCTTACCCAGTCACAACATGATTTTGGGTTTAAACTGCAGGTCAGGTCATCGTACCAGAACCAGAAAGGCCACCCCCACAAGACTCAGAGGAAAACCTGTATGGACCTCATCTTCGATCCTAATAGTGACGTGATACTTTTGTGCAACACGACAGGATTGAGCGCGAGGGAGTCGATTATCATTAGGCAGCTACCACTCTCTCGCCAGAACATGCCCACTAATCTCGGGTTTATGGGAAGAGTTGCTCTTAACGTCTCTTCATATGGTATCTACATTTCGAAGGAGCATATTTTCGACATAACCATTCTCCCGCGCCGCTATATCTCGTTCATCACGGAGCCTCGCAATCAGCCGAGAAGGACCAACAAGAGATCATTCGAGCCATCATCGTCACAGCAAGATTCAACAGCAAATAAAAGAGCGAAATTAAAGGAGACAAGCGAAGAGTCAAGTGCTTCTACCATCTTCGAGACAGCGCCGACTCACCCGCTGATCGACGAGCCCGCTTTTCTAAGCACGTTATCAAATGTCAGCAATACTGATATAAGCGTCGTTTCCGGCCTGTGTCATCCGCTAGAAGAACTTCAGCTTGATGATACCTTAAAGATAGTCAGTGCCACCAGGGAGGAGGACTATGAGCTTACTCGCAGGGCTGATCTATCAGTCCAAAGAAACTCACTTGTTTACAAGGCCCATCATTCGAAAATTCCGGGGAGGCTGGTGGTCGTTAAAATATGGCGAAGCAAGCTGGATTTTACTGCAGATTCCGCTTCAGCTTTGAACGTCTCGTCTGTCGGTAGATATTGGTTGAATGAAGTAAAAAACCATTTCGAAATAGGCCTACATGTAAGTCAAGACTTAAACTATATATAATTCTACAAAGCTAATTCAGCTATAGCCCGCTATTGCAACTTGTTATGCCGCTGACGCAAGATTGCTATCGGTTTATATAGAGTATATTAATGCGCCTAACTTGCTATTTTACTGCGAACGTCGCAGAAACACTTATTGCAAATTAGACTACAGCGACGCTAGGCGAGTACTTTATAGTATGGCTGACGCCCTGAGCTTCATCCACAGAAAGGGAGTTACACATGATGATATCAAGCCGGCGAATATCCTCTACTCAAAGGATAGAGGCCCAGTCCTCATCGATTTTGGGTGGTCATCTACAGGAGATGGACATTGCGCCGGATCACCGTGGTATATACCGCCCGAATACAAGCAGAGCGGCAAGCGTGGCTCCCCCGGCGATATATTTGCCTTTGGCGTCGTTATGCTTTTTCTCTTGCGTCTGATTCCGCTCCCGGAGTTACAATCACCGCCCCTGAGGTGGCAAATTTCTCATCTGAGAAAGGTTGGCCCAGATGCTCGCAAGGCCATAGATAAAATGAATCAATGGCTAGAAATAGTCGACAGAGCCACAGACAAGCTTAATAATGTTCCGGATAATGTTTCGGATAAATCTGTTGGATATGTTGTAGGTATGGTTCAAGGCATGTTAGACTTTGAGCCCGGAACCAGGATTTCAGCGCACGAGTTGTTTCATGATCTTCGAGAGTTGTAACAGCTAATATATCAAAGTCATTTCCCTCGTAGTAAGCGATAAGATCTAACTTTCGAATGTCATATCTGCCTGATACGCTGCTTCTCTTTCGCTTTCTGACTTTTTCTGATGCTTGTTCATTAATTTCTGACAATTGGGGCGATGGACATGGCATAACCTTGCTTGCAAGACGAAGAAATTCGTGCCATCGAGACGATGCCCACTCATAGGCACGTAGAAGAGATGGCTGCAGACAGGATGGGTAGGCGCCATCGAGCCCGTATGTAATGCCGCGCTGCAGTGGACGGTGCCCGCTTTGCCAAGCAAAAATGACATTTAGATCTGCCTCGGGGCCACGATCGTCATACTGGTTAAATGGTAAGCATATCTCTCGGACATGCTTTTCAATCACACCGATGGTAATTTGTCGATATACTTGGACATTAATTGCGCGCTCCCATGCCTTTGTAGTTGCTTCTTTAAGGACCAAGGTCAGGCGGCCTGGTTCCCAAGTTTGTTCATCAGTGGAGAACAGACGATGGTTTTGAGGTCTCTCTTCTAAGGCGTCTGCTAAATACTCAAGCTGCTCGCGTCGTAGCAGAGCTGCAAATCCACGGATCCAAACAAGGTATAAGTAAGCGACCCGGCCCAGCTTAGCTGGTAAAAATCGGACTACGTAGAATTCCCGGTTTGTGGTTCTTTTGGCCCCGTGAATCCGGACGATATATACCATCGAGCCGTTCCAAACATAAATGCCGTACTTGGTATATTCGCCGTTCTGGCAATCAATCGTGAGAAGATATTCAGCTCGCGGGGCTTGGCCACAGGCGGTATAAAATGCTCCCAGCAACATCTCCTGGAGATACATTGCCCTTTTCCGGTACGAGGATACAGCTGCCCAGTTCCATTGGCCGCGATTAGACAGCGCACGAGACTTGCAAGCTTCCGCTACTAGATCAAGGTATTCTTGATCAAGTCCGTTGTCAGGATGCTGGGTAAATGAGTAACCGGGCCGTCCATTTAGAAATAGTAACCGTTGAATAAACATAAGCCCTGACAAGGTCGTAGTATATTGTTCTGCAGGTTTATAGCCCTTACCACAAACCGTAAAGCCCAGGACGCCGCTGAAATAAACCAATAGTGCCGAGCTTGGCTGGCCATCCGCGAATCTCTCCGTCATCAGTATCAAGCTCAGTTGAAGCAGTAGCTCGATAATTTGGTCCGGCATCGTGTCGCTAACTTGGCCCTCAAATGCTAGTTGCGTAATCTTGATAGCGCTTTGTAGTAGGTTACTGTTGTTCATCAGAGCAAACTCTTCAGGGCCTTCTCATTTCTTTTGACCAATGTTGCTGGTTCTGTGGGGGAGGCTGTTGATCTCCGTATTGCTCTCCCCATCATCATTCTCATCATCGTTGTCCTCCGCATCTTCCATATCACTAAAAGACATGGCATCTTCACTGCAATCACCATCTTCAGTAATTTCCGGCATGGCATAGCGACTGCGAGTATCTCGATTTCGGCCATCAGGCCACAAGCCTTTACCAGTCTAAATATGTTCCCACGCCTCGTGCTCAAGAAGCTCCCGTATTTGATTCTGCGCTTTCAACCTAAGGGGGATGTTGGTCAACTCTTCTTCTAAGTCTTCCAAAGCACGATAGCTTCGGATTGTAAAGGCTATTAAGCACTTCCAAAGCCGACGGTATCGCTTCTTACTGCCAACCTTGGAGACAAGAGAGAATGGCTTCCGGCTACAAGATTGGTGATCTGTGTTTTGGAGCCAGCATAGGATGTGGCGGCTAGTGTTCCGGACGGTTTCCTCACATCTGTCAAGCAGGCAATCCAATGCGCCAAGAAGACATGATACTTTCTGTTCGCCAACGTCTGCATTGACGATAGCGCGCCTGGTTTTGCGGGATCTTTGACCTATGAAATAATGCGTAGTAAGATGGTGGCGATTAGGCAATCGGATAAGGGCTTGCAAGATGTCTCGCTGAGCGCCCTTGTATATTCGGTCCCACTGGGTGCAATCCATCCAAGGAGTGGATGAGGCAACAGTATTGTTTCTTGGTGACTGGTCGTGTATGGCCGGTTGGTTATCCTCTGTAAGTCGCTGTTTTTCTCTGGTCAGAATTTTATCAAGATGTATTTCCGCCTCGGCGCAATCCGGAGTTTTATCATCGTCCATCAAATGTTCTCATCTTCTTTTTATCCAGTCTGACTGGCCGCCGGAGTTAATTTGTGTAGGGTAGGAATGACCTCGACCTACTTCAAACCAGCCACTAGCTGCTCTTGATCGAAAGAATCGTTGGCACTGCACACCTTCTATCCAAGGTACCTCCTCTTGGATCAATGGCTGCACGGCTGGATAAACCTACGGCAGAAAGGGCGGCAGCCAGCCGTGCTTTCCGTGACAGTGAGCCTGTATTTTCTGAATTCGGCAAGCTATATAATCGCAAGCTCGGTATTTCATGCCATCAGATCTTGGGGGCTCAAGATATAATATTAGCTCTATAGTTGGCGGAAGAAACTTAAAGTTTTCTAAATCGGCTTGCCTGAGAATGATTTTATTGATCCTTTAACTGCACTGGCGATTTTATTTCGCTCGGCAGACGAAATTTCGCAGTGTCGCTTCTGCAGATGTGTGGCAGTCTCATCAGCAACACAAGCAAAGCGGCCGATAGATCAGGCGTTGGAATTGGTATCGGGGCCGGGTCTCGTACGACCTCGACCGCCTCCTCAGCGCGCCCCCTCTTCCTCTTCTTCCCCTTCTTCTTCCCTCCCGCCTTCCCTGCTCCGCCACTCTCCTCTCTATCATCAACTAGAAGAAGCTGGCGCATCGTACGGTGTAGCTCCAGCGTGAGGGACTGCACGAGATCCACAAGCTGGGTTACAGTAAAGCCGGTCTTGCCGAAACGCACCTGCTCGCCATTCCACTGTACATCGGCCACCAGGGACGTTGTTTTACTGATGGCCATGCCGTACGCCCTGACCTCGAAGATCCAGTCGATCGGCGAGGGCTTTGTAGTGGCCGAGGTGACAGTCAGGTAGCGCAAGACCTTTGATCGTACGGAATCGAAGAGGCCTGGCGCGACCTCCCTCTCCTCTGGCGTCCCCGCGTTCAGGACCTGCCGGCATTCCTCGTACGACTGCTGCAGAACCAGGAGCCGACCGATGTTGATGGCAGCTGAAAGGATACCGGTGTACTCGTGCGGCCGGCGCCAGGAAACAGCATCGCCCACTGCCCTGAGGCCCATCACGCTGAGGGCGCTCAGGACCACGCTCTCGTACGGTGAGTTGGGGAGTTCGTGGTCCAGCAGGGAGATGAAGAGGCGGAGAGACTTGCGGTCGATCACCTCCAGAGTGGCTTTCGCGAGCGGCGGCTCGTACGCCCGCAGAGTCTCCTCCAGGAACTCCTCCAGGTCGTTATATGCTTCCTCCTGAGGCGGCGACAGTTCGTAGGCACCGCAGTCATCCTCATACCACGTCTGCGTACGAAAGAGGTAGCCGACAATGCGCTACCAGACATTCAAGTACCGCGCCTTCGTCTGTGGCTCGAGCCGGCTGGAAAAGGGAACCCTGGCCTTGTGAACGTGGTCCCGCCGGCGCAGCTCGAACAGAGTTGAGATCCCGGCCACCTCGGACGTGGCCGTACGATGCGCCGCCTGGATGATGCGGTCGAGGCTCGCCCAGACCTCCTGCAGCATCGTACGGTGATCGGCCCTGTACCAGCCATCCCCCGGTTCCAGGCTGATGGCCGACTGCAGCTTCTGGTGGTCAAGACCCTGGAGGTGAGCAACCCAGCCGGTCCGCTCGAGCCACGGGTTTGGCTCGTAGTTTGAGCCCTCGGCAATGGTCTTTGCCGTACGAGCCTTGAATAGGGCGGCTTGGGAGCTGTACTGCTCTAGAAAGAGGAGATCCTCAGCTGGGACTGGTACATCCGCCTGGGGCAGCACCGGCCGGGTATCGTACGGTGGTGCCATGGACGCGGAAGATGTGGAGGATGGGTCGGCCAAGACCTCAAACCAGAAGCTGCCGCTGCCGCCTTTGAATAGTCGCTGGCAGCGGACGTTCGTACGCCATGGCTGGCTGTGAGAATGCGCCTGCTGGCGAACATCACCCCCCTTCACCCACGGGTTCTTCCAGGAGTGCTTCATACGATAGTGCCTAAGTATCGTGGCCCTGTGCGTGCACACAAAGACGCAGCCATCTTCGCGGCAGGCAAGTCCGACAGAGCAGGGATCCCCGAGGCTTGGGACCGCTGGGATAGCCCCCGTCGGACGGTAGAGCCGGTCCAGGTCGGCCGCGGTCGCCAGGATGTCCGGTATCTGCTGTACGAGAGCCGCAATCTCCTGGCGCCGCTGGCGGGTAAGCTGCTGGTGTATCGTACGGAGGTGCCTGGGGACATGCTCGGAGAGGCAGGCGTACTTGCACTCCTTTTACACAACAAGCTGAAACGCCGGGAGATGGGTAAAGGGATCCATGGCCGTGGGATATCTTTTCGTACGGGGGATTCTTCGGTTTCTTCGTTATCATAATCATGCATGGAACCTGGACTTTATGTAGTCTGAGTCTTCCCTAGGGTGGCATTAGACACTTTCGGGCCCCTTTGGCTCCAGGAGTTGCTGCTTGTGGTGTGGATTCTCGTACATGTAATAAGCGTAGCCAACTGACTGAAGCTGGGACTTTGGACTTGGGGCTTCTTCGTACGTGGCTTTTCGTCATAGACGCAGCTGACTGACTGAAGCTGCCTCGTCCGATCCCGCCTGCTCCTCGAGCGTGACGTTGGTGGTTCCCTTTCCCCCTCCTCTATATCTACCAGCAGGGGAAGGAGAGAAGAGGGAAGAGGGGGATGAGGTTCCGTACGGATACCTGTCTATATATACCTACTTATATGGCGGTGACACAAGGGCTTTAGCCACATGCAAGATAAGCAGTCAGGGCTCACCCCCAGGTTTACCCAATAGTAGAGAGCGCGTACGAGCCCCCAAAACTGTGATTGGGCTGGGGCCCCCCTGTAACCCTGTGGCGTGACGTCGTACGGGAGAGGATCTCGAGACGCTGGCGGCTACGTTGGCACGCAGGCGACTACAGACGAAGCATCATGCCAAGCTTCCCCTAACCGCCATCTGTAAAAGAGCCCATGTAGAAAGCAATTGCAGCTTCATAGTAAAAAAAGTACGCTATTGACGACCAGGGGGTAGAAAGCAATTAAATTTCAGTGTAGAAAGCAATTAGGTTCCCGGCTGGTAAAACAGCCAAAATGCACATGCTGTAAAAGCCAGCAATAAGGGCATCCCGTCTATTTATTTATTTAGCCATTTCGCCCAGTTTATTAATGTTTTTTATTAGATTGAAGTTTGTAATATAACCCGCCATGACGGTCCAAAGTGGGTATTGTGGAATGAGTAAGCAAGAGTACGAGCAGGGATTTAGAAACAGCCAGCCAGTATTACACCATATAAAAAATAAAAAGCAAGCAAGCAAGCAGGCCACAGGTCAAATGCAGGTAAGCGAAGTAATGCCAGCGCATTAAGGGGTAGAAAAAAGAAAGAAATAACAGTATTGAGTTATTTATTATATATCAAGCCCAACAATGGTTGTTTTTTTATTTTATTATAGTAAATAGTAGCCAGGTGAATATAAAATGGATCCGTTTGTTTATTTGCCCGAGTACCCGTTTGTTATTTGCAGCGTGTGCAAGTTTGCATGCGTGGCCAATGAGGTAGCAGCCCATTTACAGCAACAGCATATCCCGGCAACAGCAGCAGAGGTTAGACGAATTAGCGATGTTGTGAAGGCAATCCCGGGCATCATCAAAACACAAGAAGAGTTACGCCAGTGGTCAGTGCCGCCACCAACAACACCACCAATCCCCATCATTCCACCGCCAGAACCGGATGGGTTGGGATGCAACGAATGCCCGTATGTGGCCCGGACACCAAAGACCATAAGAGCACATTATCGAAACAAGCATGAGTGGGTCAACGATCGGGGACCGGGCCGATGGGCCAAGAAGTTAGGGGCCGAGAAGGAGCGGGCCGTACCGTGGAGAACAGGCGTTCAATGTCAGAGATTTTTCCCGTCGCGTGTGGCAAGTAGTTGGTTCGAGGTTGGCCGGGGATTACCGCCGTCCGTCAAGCCGGATCAGGATACCGACGGGGTCGACAAGGAAGCCGAGTTTTTAAACCGAATCCACCGCGAAGATGAAGAGGCGTTTGTCAAAGAGTCCAAAGCAGCCATCAAAACGGTGGATGACAAATGGGAAGCCGATCGGTGGTTAAATCGCGTTGGGTGGGCAGCCCATTTGAAGGACGTTGACAGGGACGATTTGGCAAAGGCAGTACGTCCGATCGAGGAGCATGAGGTCGAATTACAGAAGATGTGGGCCGTTTTTGATCAGGTATTAGACAGCGCGTATGCCGTGGCCGTCAATCGCAGTCCGGGCACGGCCGAGTTGTACGAAGTCGAGCGGAAGGAAATATACGTCACGCCCGAAACGCCGTTCAACGGGAGGATGGAGCCCAAGTCATGGGAAAATTACAAAGACAAGTGGCGCACATTGATGTGTGTTTGGCAACGGATGGAGTTGTTAGATGAAGACGAGCGGCCGCCATATCGATTGACGACGAAACAAGCAAAGAGGTGGGGTGAATTCCGCACAGGCGTAAAGGCCGTGGTGTCGGGATCCGACAAAATTGGTAGGTACACCGACGATAGATTGCAACGGCCATGTTTAGATATGGTGGTTAGCATGTTGGATCACCCATTGCAGAACGGAAACCATTATGAAAGCATCATTATCAGTGCGTTGGCAGTGATGGGAATGGACGATCATGGCCGTTGGATGAGCGCGTTAAGTTACACGCCGATTTATTCAGCAGTCATCAAGGTTGCGAAATATTTGGTGTTGTATCAATCCGTATTGGAGAGGGGAGAAGAGATCGCACGGTTACGCCACACAATGAGCAGGAAAAAAGCAGAAGAGAAGGCGACGGGATTATTCCGCATTGTACGGCAAAAGGTGCGACGATTCATGACGCGGATTTCGGATGAAGCAGACGCGGACCCGACGCCGATGAATTGGATCATCAACACGCGGACATACGGGTTAAAGATCCGATACACAACACCCGGAGGAGAGAGCATCGATTGGCGGGGAGATGAGATCATACACGGAAAGGTGCGGTTGCGGATGAATCAGTTATCAGACATGTTGCATAATTTATTGGAAGATGCGAGACGAAAGATGGCAACATTGACGATGGTGGACGACGCAGAGTCGATTAGGGAGGCATTGCCGAGGATACCGTGGTCACGCATCGAGGATCGGCACGGGGAGGGCGATTTGGATTATTCGTTTTTGAGAAACCCCGAGAACGAGTGGTGGGTGCAGCCCGGAAGTGGATGGGTTAAGGGACGGATATTGAGATCAAAAGAGAAGCGGGCGGCATGGTTGTCAGAGACGTTGGATGAGCGGCATCCGTACAAGGCGAAGGCAGTACGCAGTTACGGGAGGGCGTTGGAGGAATTCCGCGAGCAGATATGGATGTTGATGCACATGACGGGCGGGCAGCCGGCACGATCAACGGAGGTTTTGGGGATACGGATGTGGAACACGATGAACGGCGGGGTGAGGAACATATTTATAAACGAAGGAATGATGTGTTTCGTGACGATGTATCATAAGGGGTTCCGGAAATCGGGAGATATCAAAGTGATACACCGATATTTGCCGCGCGAAGTGGGCGAGTTGTTGGTATGGTACATGTGGTTGGCGTTGCCGTTTTGGCAGAATGTGCAGGGCAGGTTGAAGGGCAAGAGGCGGAAGAGCGCGTTTTTATGGGCAGACGAGATTGTCGGGGAAGACGGGGGCAAGGACCATGGCAACGGGAGTCGACAAGAGAATGGCGAGGACGGAAGGGACGAGGAGGAGGAAGAGGAAAGGGTAGAAGAGGCAGTGTTTATGGAGTGGTTTACAGAGCGCAAATGGACGAGCGACCGAGCGCGGAGGGTGATGCAGCGATACAGCAAGCAGTTTTCGGGACAGCAATTGAACATCAGCGCATGGAGGCACATGGCAATCGGAATCGCCAACCGTTATTTAAACGGTTTGGTCGGAGACACAGAGGGTTACGGCGGCGACGACGACGATGACGACGAAGGGGAGGACGGGTTGGTCGACAGCATATACGATTTACAGGCAGGGCACGGGTCGCACATAGCAGGGTTAGTATACGCAAGGATGTTTGGGCAGGGTAATTTGGGAACGATACATAGACGAGAGGAGTTCCGAAGAGCCAGCATGCAATGGCATAGGATCGTGAGGTTCGGGGCGGACGATCGGTCAGAGAGGGGCGGCGGCGCAGGGTCGAAGCGAGCACGGGCGGCAATCGACATAGAGCAGGAAGGGTTGCGGAAGCAACGATTTGGCAGATTGCATCGGGCAGATATGCAGGGACAGTTGAAGCAGATGATGGGGGAGACGGCGGCATTCCGGGGGTCGCAGAAGCGGGTGATCGAAGCCGTGGTGCGCGGGGAGTGGCCGGTCGTACAGGTGGCGCCGACGGGGGGCGGGAAGAGTTTGACGTTTATGTTGCCGGCATTTTGCACGCCGGACGGGATGACGATCGTGGTCACGCCGTTGTTGGCGTTGGAGGGCGACATGGTGAGGCGGTGCGGGCAGATGGGCATCGATGCGTACGTATGGAAGAGCCGAGGGGTGCAGCGAGGAGCGGCGTTGGTGTTCATAACGCCGGAGGGGGCGGCAACAAAGGGGTTCCGGGCGTTCGTGGAGAGGATGCATGGGCAGCAGAGGTTGGACCGTGTTGTGGTGGACGAGTGTCACACGGTGTTGGAGTGGTCGAAGGAGTTCCGGCCGCGGATAGGGAAGTTGGGAGAGGTGTTGAAGGAGTTTGGAGTGCCGGTGATTTGTTTGACGGCGACGTTGAAGCCGAAGGAAGAGTTGGCGTTTTATGCGCAGATGGGGTTCGTGGGCGATCGAGTGCGCATGTTTCGAGAGCGGACGACAAGACGGAACATCGAGTATCGGGTAGAGGTGGTCGAGGACGGGATCGGAGCGTCGGCACCGCACGGCGGAGGGGCGAGAAGCAGGGGAAAGAAGAGAAAACGGGGGCAAGGGGAGAAGACGGCCGGCGAGGAGAAGACAGCGGGGCCGGGCGAAGAAGAACAGGACCCCGTGGAGCAAAGGGTGTGCGAGATCGTCAGGGCATGGGCAAAGGTTCACGACGCAGGCAATGTCATCGTTTACGGAGGATCGATCGAGCGAGTCAAGCGGATAGCGGCGGCGATGGGGAGTAAAGAATATTGGAACAAGGCGGGCAGCGCGGAAGATAAGGCGAGATGGATGAAGGAGTGGCAGGAAAGCAGCGGAGGAGAGTCGGGGTGGATCGTGGCGACGAACGCGTTGGGTTTGGGGGTGGACGTGCCGGACGTACGGTTGGTGGTTCACGCAGGAATGCCGCGAGATTTGCGAAATTTCGTGCAGGAGAGCGGGCGAGGAGGAAGAGACGGAGAGAGGAGCGAGTCGGTAGTGGTGGTACGAAGGTCATGGTTACGGCGTCAGACGGAAGCATTGGCGAAGGCGAAAGCAAGGAGGACGGCGGCGGCAGAGAGAAGGGAAGCAACGGAAGAAACGGAAGCAACGGAGAGCAAGACGGGGCATGTGATGTGGAAAGGTGTATGGGGCGGAGAAAACAGGGCGGAGGGATGCGACAGGACGACGGGACAAGATGGGTGGGACGAAGATGTGGTGGAGTTTGCAGAGGGCAAGTGTTGTCGACGGGAGGTGTTGGATCGCGAGATGGACGGCAACATGGAGCGTATAGGATGTGCAGAAGGGGAAGAGCAGTGTGATGTGTGTGGCGGGCAGCAGTTGAAGATGGATTTGCGAGAGTTGGAAGAAGACGAAGGATGGATGGGGGAGGAAGACGAGGAAGAGGAGGAGATGAAAAGGGCGGAAGTAGAGGCGGATTTCGCAAGGAGCCAGCAGTTAATTCGGATGACGGAGACGGAGAGGATGTTGACGGCAATGAAGGAGGCGGGGGACGCAAGAGAGTTCGAGAAGCAGTTGGACGAATGGGCGGGGTGTTGCGTTGCATGCAAGATTGGAGGCAGGGACGAAATGTATCACAAGACGGAGGAGTGTACAGAAAAAGAGTCGGGGACATGGGGCAAAGTGATGGAAGGGATGAAGACGGTGAAGAGCGAGATGTTTGATATTACATAATCAATTGCGATGCTATAACCCGGCATCTCCGAGTTCAATATGTAATTTATAAGTCTGGATTCAAGCGATAGCGAAAGTGTAATTTTACTGACATTATAAATTCCGATATGCACGATACTGGATTGTTATAGGGTAATGGCATAGAAGATATCTCGTGCTTTGCGATGTGATGCTAATCTTAGTTACTAATGCTGGCAGCATCAATTAAAACGCTGGATTTGAAGTTTAAGCTAAGAGACATCATTATTGGCGGCAAACATGGTTACTAAGATGCTCTGGTTTCTGCGGCCGAGCGCCGTCGATCTAAAACACCAGGGAGAGTTGGCTTCTTATCGATAAAGCATAAGCGCATAGAGTATTATTAGAGCAGCCCCATCGCGTATCTTAGTTAATGATGAAAGCTGGAACAGCTTTAATAAAACATATTGCTTCATTTTAGCTCGCCCAGATATAGTATCTATCTGTCTACTTATTTACAGTACCTACCTCTCTATTTACATGTCTATTTATCTTTATAGCTGTTTAGCTGTCCGTCTATTGCCCGTCAGGGTCGAGTTAACCAAGAAAGGCAGGCACAAGGATATGGACACACTTGCCATGTCCTCCAATGTCGAAATAACAAAGGTCCCCCTCTTCCCTCCCTCTACCGCTGTCATGTCACCGCGTAATCATTAACCGCTAACGGCTGTTCCCCCGTACTGTTACCAGCCTACTCGTTGGCTGCCGCGTTGAGTTGCCAGAGCCTGCATATGCCGAATCTACTTTCCAACCTCTACCTTTGTCTTTCCGGCCGAGATAATGCTTCCCTTAGCGGGAAGTCAAGTATAGTATAGCTCTATTCTAAAGTTAAATCGTGCCGATTGACTTAATGTTTGACAATGTCTATTATTAGCCCCCAATAATTGCTACAGATCTCGAGTACTGCCATTAGATTAGTCTGCTGTACATATTCCCGCGGCGCCTAAACCAGGTGTCTTCTCGCTATTTTCCCCAGCTCCATGTATTCCTACCCTAGGGAGCTACTTTGAAAAGGGCTGAGAGTGTGAAAAGAAAAAGGACGGCATCCCCAACGTAAATATCTTAGTCCAGCCTGTCCGGCGCATCCAATTTGTCACCAAAGCTGTTGATGTCATTTCTATGTACTGTCGGCCAATTATAGCAGATCCAGATATATGCTGGAGCTCCTGCGCGCGCAGCTCTTCCACACGGCATCGAAGCGTTTCCGAGGCCTTCTTAAAAGGCTGAAGTATCAGGTTTTGCCGCTCCGAAGCGACGATCGTCACTTGCCATGAGTTCAGGATATCACCAGCCAGCCAACTTTGAAATAAAGGCTGTTCGTGGATGTGATCCCGTAGCCAGCGGCCTGTGCGGGCAGATTTGATCTGTTCCGGTTGGCACGGTTACAGCACGATAATGGCGATGAATGCGATTGCTTGCCTATAATTTTGCGTTATTGGCTTTATGATATGGCAGGTATAGTAATTATAGTAACCCGTTATAGTAGGGTAACACGAGGCCGTATTTAAAAGAACGGCGATTGTAAATTCGGCTGATTGTATCACGATGCAATTCCTATGGTTGTAATAAGGGGCCTACAGGGTAGGCCAAATTAGATTAATGGAAGGGTTAGGGTTAGCTAACCGCAAGCAACTCCTTAAAATCATCCGTTAACCCAGTGAGTTGACTCACTGTAACGATCCGTTATACCGTTAAGCCACAGGGCAAAAGGTTAGGCCAATAATCGCAATTGTAGCAGTTACTGTAACGGAACCAGCTGCTTATAGGGGATTTAACTGTTACAAGGGACCAGGTTGTAACACTCGCCAGCTTGGCAGACTCGTTAGAAGAGTCTAGCTTTAAACTTGAGCTACTACTGCTGCTAACTGGACTATTGTGTTTACTTCTCATGCTTGTTTAGATAAGTGAGACAGCCATGAACCCGAAGCCGTGGAAACTTATGAAGCCCTAAAACTCGCCAAAACCCGGATCCGCCTAAACCCGGAGGTCAAAGAACTCATCCTATTCCTCGATAATTCAGCAGTCATGGACGGGATCCTAGGGGGCCCCCCAGCCTCCTCACAGAACGCATACATGGGCCGTTGGAGGATCGCCAAAGAACTCCTCCCAGACGTCACTAACAGGGTCGCTTAGGTCTACGTACTACAAACGGTGGCGACTGGACGCTCCTCTGAAGCCACCCGAGCTACAACTACCGAGACCCATCCTACACAGCTTCCGGCCAAGAGAAGAGGACACGGAGACTTTGTGGGATACCATGTTAGATTCGGACATGACACGAAAACTCTCTGCAATTGTGGAGAGCCCAGGATCCCAGGACACTTCGTAGAATGCAGAATGGCCGAGCCATTCCTCCCAGATGTTTTTGAAAAGGACCTCCGGGAGGGCACAGCTCAGTAACCTACCTGCTAGGGGCCCAGAAGATACAAAGACTTCCAGAAACTAGTGGAGGACACCAGCCCATATGGCACTATCCCCCCCAAACCTAGATGGAGAACCTACATCTTCCCTTTGTCTATTTGAAGCGTAGCGAACACAGGATCTGAACATGCGGCTCCTACCGCCCTTTTTGCCCAGATGAGGCTTTATATGTACCAAACTAGCTTACTTAGCGGACGTTAATAATAAACAAACAAACATAACTGAGACAGTTAGTTGGTAATAAAGGTGGTGACTATAATACAGTTAATTTAACATCTAGTAAGTAGTGAAGCATTAATAGAACTATTACAATATTACCTATAAGCCCTCCAGGCCCATCGGCCAACAGAAACTCAAATTCAAGGTTTGTCCTTTTATTTTCAGATTGGCGTATAACATAGTGGTAGGTTGGTTGTATTGATATACGCTAAAGTTTAATTATTAGAGAAGCTTGTGCAGGCCAATTATTCACGAGGCCGTGCGGCTTCTAGTATAGTCAGTTAGTTTCCTACCTGGCGTGCTTAGAGTAGATGATATATACAACTCCGGACTTACAGTAACTAAAATCATTATATTTTTTCCCATTGCCCCTTCTTATTATATCTCACTTTCGCTTTGCCCTAGGTCGCTTTGCTCCAAAAAAAAAAGTGTTGTTGTAATTGTTTTGCTCTTCGCCAGGATCGCTATTCTTCTTCTCTGTCTCGTCCTCGTCCTCGTTCTCTTTCTCAGTTGACTCTCTAGAAAGACCTGAGGTCGCGATATTTAGCCCCGCCACTCCATCAGCATACTTCGGTAAAATATCGTTAATGCGACCACTGTTTGGTTATATGCTAAGGGTTAGCTACTGACTCTGTTCTGTGAGGGAGGCTGTGCATAGTAAGATAGAGACTTGAGGATTTGAATCATGTGCTTTGTGGCTGCCATATCCTCGTCTATTTTGCTTAGCTTGGTTTGCATTACTGCCAAAGCTTGCAACATGTGTATCGTAGGCTCTTTTTCGTAAAGAGCAAGTTGCTTGGCCAGTGTATCCATACTTTCAACCACCAAGGCAGGGTTTAGTTTCATTTCGTCCTGTTCAGGCATTGTTATTGACCGCTGTTCCCTTAAATAAGGGTCTGGATGACGGTCTGTGGTGTAGTATGAATGAAAGAGCAAAAAGGAGGAGCAATGCTGCTGAGAGGAGAAGGGAAAAGAGAATAATAAGCTAGGTGGGTGGCAGCGTTTTATGATGGATGTCTCGGATAAATCTTATAGCGACTTTGAGGAATGTGCGATGGTATGTATGTAATATGCTTGAACAATATTTGGCAATTAGTAAGTGAGTTACGCCATGATTTATTGGCACAGCTGATGGGCGATAAATAGATGAGATGGATAGCTTAAGCTTTCGCTTTATTGGAATTATAATATAGCAGCCTACGATGGTAAGGCTATATATGATGGGTATAACATACGTGCGAACGTATAATTCTTCATCCGGGAACAGTGCAGCCGCTTGTAACTCAAACCTCCTATTCCAATAAGCTGGTGGAAGATCCTTTAAATCTTGAGCGGGGAGTGGGACCCATACAGTGCATATAAAGCGTTGCGATCATCGTAATCATCTACAGGTTCTGATTGCAGCATGTGAGAGTGGTATGCGTCGAAGTGCCCAGAGGTGAACCCGTTTCGCTTAGGGCGCCAGTTTCCTTGCTCATCTGTACTAATGTTATCCAGCGGCCTGATCTCTTAAAGGTTATAACGTCATATGCAGGCATATGCAGGCAAGCGCAGATAGGGTCTGCATACACTCATTATGTGCGTAAAAAGCAGCGGGATCATAAATCAGGCACTCCTCTGCGTTATCAGCGAGTCTACCTGCATTTTCGCACCACATATCTCCGTGGACCGGCGAAGGCTTTATTTCATGTCCTTCACTCTCAAGAGGCCGTAAGAGTCGGGGAATGTTTTCCCCGCTTGTCCCCCTATGCTTTCTCCAAATTCTGAGTTTGGTCATGTCAACGGCCAGTGATAAAGATTAAACCCCCACTCTCAAGCTCTCTGAGCAATGATTGGATGGGGGGTGTTCTATCAGGTCCCGATTGGAAGATCGACAAGGGCGCTGTATCTTGGAGTCAGTCCTCCGCATAATTCTTGCTTTCGTCCATAATCTAATCTAATATGATTAAATCCCGTCGTCTTTTCTACTAATTTTGACTCTATTAAATGCAGGTCGTCCTTAAATGACGCGTAGCATTTGGAATACCTACTGGCATGTTATAAGGCAGATAAGGGAGAAGGCGTATAAAGTGAGTGTGGTTTAAATAAACCTTAAATGTTACTGTGGAGGGCGGGGTCACTGCAAGCAGTCGGAATTAATGCGTCTTATCGCGTAAGCAAACTTAAACTACCTACTGGTTTAAGTTTTAGAGGGGCTTTCAGCGGTTGACTCAAGAGGCTTAGCATTAACGGCCCTGTTGCCTGGACTTGCTTGGCTTAGTGGTTGATCCATAGCGAGGTTCCTGAACATGGCTCCTATTCCATTAGCGAGGCCTAAATTCCCTCCCCTTAATTTTCAATGG